TTATAAGTAATCATCTGAGAACAGGACTACATTATATCACCACAGAATCACCAATAAACTTAATCTCTATCAGCAAGTTCACAGCCGAACACTTTGTAAATGTTGATCATCATATTCATCCCAAAATGATCAGGACTAAACATCGTAAACATGATAAGGACCAATACATAACAATATTGGATTTATCATTCTACCCTCAGGGTTTCACTGTTGGGATAAATTGTATATATACAAAAATTAAGTCATTTTATTTTGTAGTCTTCTTATTCTTCTTCAGATGTTCCTGCTCTGTGAAAAATGACAACTATGCAGTGCGGGGTGTAGGGTACAGAGACATATGGAGAGGTTATACTTGAGATGGATTTTCCTTTTATTACAAAAGTTACCCAAGGGTACGCCAATAAATACCGTGGTATTTTTAATGGCTATGTTAGAAGGCATTACATACAGCTTTGTATGTTCCATTGTAGTGGTGTTCTGAGGAATAAAGTAACATCTGTATGGAATTGTCTTTTGTCACCATTTTGAGTTAAAATGTAAGTGGGAAAACATGTCTTGTTCTGGAGTTGTCTGGGATAAGGACGTTTTCTGGCTCGGTTAGACGTGCAATTTGAGAGTAAATAACAAATCAAAGCATCAAGGACACATAGATATTGTGTATTACGTGTATTGAAATAAAGGAGGTAGTGTATTAGTGTAGATTGGTATATGATCTTGAGTGATTGGTCATGCTGATATATAATGAATATTCAAGACATATATAGACAAGTCAGACGCTGTAAATTCACAAGCTTATGACAATATATGAACATGTAATCAGAACCGTCAGTGATATTGAAATAATTACCAACCTTTATCAGCACATGAATTTGATGACGTAATCTAAAGATATCTTTGTTCGCATGTAGTTTGCTGACAGCATTTATTTCTCCCAGCAACATATCTATCTCTCACACTCATGACCATTTTCTCATCCATGTTTGGTAACAAAGTTTAAGCTTTAACCAGAATATATCATAAAAAGCTAACTCTATACTAGTCAGTGCTTTTTCATATTTAAGATTTTTTTTTTCATATTTAATTTTTATAAATTTGAAAATATATATGATCATCTATGCAACACTGATAACTTCTAAAGAAAAATCAACAATATTCAAACATCTTTTCAGTAAGTCATGGAATTAAGACCTTATCGTAAATATCAAGTGCGTAAGAAACTTCAAATGTATGGCTGGAAGGAGGTCAATCTAACAGTGTAGACAATATCAGTTTTCTTCCAAACAGAGAAGAAGCATAATAAACAACATCTTACAACTCTTCTTCTCTTATAGATATCATATACAAGCATTTATAAAATAACAGCATTATCTATTTAATGAACCCTAATTTCAAACTAGAACTGTCGTCAGGATGGTGGACTAATACCCCCACTCCCCAATCAACCATAATTTTGGAGGTGTGATTCCAACAAGATTCCTCCAAGAGGTCTTCATCTGGTCACCATGGCAACCAAATGGAAATATTTTTTCATATTTTTGAAAAATAGCATCACTGTGTTTGTCACACCCCTTAACCTTTTTATACCAATTTTTAACTTAATCAGATAATATCTTAATTTCAACCAATCAGATGTCTTCAAAGTGTTTCCATGGTACTGATTTGGAACCCCTTGTATGTCAAATTATGATCTAATTTTTAGATACAGTTGACACACAATTCCAGACAAATGGACGGTTGGTCGCTTGGACGTCAGACAGGGTGATTCCTATTTACCCCCTCCCCCAACTTTGTTGCAGGGGATATAAACATATTTATATCCTTTCTGCAGAGGTATATGTGCATTGTTGGATCTTTTTTGTGGTGTAAAATTTAGTCCAGGCTAAAAATATCCTAGCTAGTTAGCTGATCCAGTTGATGGCTATAGACGCACAGCGTCTAAAAAAAAGTCAGACAGCAATATTGATACATATTAACAAGCCTCTTGTAAACCCATCATTAAAATAAGTGTATCATAAATATGTGACCTCATCTAACTATATTACAGCTGTATCAGTTTTACCTTAGAGTCACTTATATAAATTGACACACAAATGTTTGACTTTCTCTACTTAAGTGTTATATGTCCTGTTTACAAATTCCAAGAACTCATGATTACTCCATGCAACACAAACATTTTGATGATACCATGTTATAGGAAATAGATGCACTGTCTATACATAATCAGGTTAAAACTGAGAGTATAGGTCACCTTACTTGCGTCAGCTTGTGGAAATTTCCAAATTACCATGGGGAAGGAAAATGTGTGAACGACATTTTGACTCAATCGACATGATACCTTGCATTTCCTAATCACAAAATTTCTCACAATTAATTAATATTTTTTAATAAGTTTGAATTATTCATGTGTTTTTTTTGCAAGTCAGGATCAATTTGAGATATTCATGTATCTCTCTAAAATAAAAATAATTTAATTTTCTATGTTCACTGAACTCATACAATACAACAGATATTAAGATTAATGTTGAGCTGTTTGGTTGTTGGTAATGATATTTATTTCCAAATATAGTCTATTCGTAAATTAAGAGAGAGAGTTGATTAAATATAAAGGTGAAAAAAGGAAATATTGATTATCTCATACAAATATAAAGCTATCATCATAGTACAAACAGAAAAAAAGGTAAAAAAACATAAATCCAAGAAGTTCAGGAAATATACGATGATGTAATCTAGATCCGATAGTCCAGTAATATTTTCATTGTGAAATCAATTCTCATAAAATATTTTCAGACAGATCTGTAACCAAGTAGCTACTTCCTGTTTTCCTATTATCAAATTTTTGGAAGGGTAAACCTACATTCTAATTCCGTAGATATTTTAGATTGATATGGTTGAAAGATTGGCATTCGTTGGTGGAACTATGCAATGTTACATCATAATTTTCTTGTTAACCTTGTTCTTGGGAAGAGCAGGTAGCATGAACATGGTAATAACTACCTTATTATTTGTATATGAGGCAGAATTCAGCATCATAAAATATTTATTACATCTGGGACAACCATTTTTGAAAATTTAAAACAAAGAGAAACACCATAATGTAGTAGATTTCATATCGTAAAATGATGTTGCATTGTGAGCAATAAAGGAGAAGATAGTTCTGCTTTGAATGACGACAAGATACAACTGTTTATGTAGAGTTCTAGATGTAACAGGACACCAATGGCTGTTAATTTGAGAATATATTTCCTTCTCAAGTACATTTTATTGTCAAATTAATGAAAACTTAACGGATGTAACAGGACACCAATTTTGCAATCAACAAGGTTTTTGAAGTAATAATAGAGACAGGCACAATATATCTATATTGCAATTGAATAAATAAATAAAATGTTTAAAGAATTATATCTCTTTATTATGATTTTATTCACCAGTTGCAATAATGGTGTCCTGCATTACATCCAGTTCACAATCCGAGTCCATGTTACCTCCCAGACATAGTTCATCAGACAAACACCTGTCATACACCATGAAATTTTTAAAATGTAATGTCATGCAAAGTTCAAAGTGCAAACTTCATCATCAAACAATAAATCTATTGCAGAATGGAAAGATGTGATGAAGACACTAAATTGTGTTTATTGTGTGCATCTTAAACCATTCATCTTGTCTCATATTAATGTACAAAACAGATATGTTAGCATGTGTGAATACACCTCCTCTAGACTATGGATACCTAAGAATGGCTTGGTGTCCATGCCAAATCAGACTTGAAATAGAAACTGATGTAGATATTTCAATTTTTTTTAAGTTTTATCCTTGTTTGAGGAACTTTTAACTGATATAATTGATGTTTCATTCAGCAAACAAGATTTGGAGATACATGACCTCATCTTAATTGACTTTTTGCAAGGGCCCGCTCCTGAGTCTTGACCAATGGTCTACCATTAATTAAGGAATGCTGGGCCATATGGTGTACCAAGGTGGAGCAGTCAGGGAGGATGATATGACATTGATTGGATAATTTGGCAGTGTACTCACCTAGGCCTTGATCATGTGGCCAGGTGGTCAGTTTTACCTCTTATTCTTCATATTCAACAAGTAGAGCAAGGTTAGTCATGACTTATCTCATGGGATGTCTGGACATTACAACAATTTTTTATTAATACTATCAGGAAACGGGACTGGGAAGTGAAAATCAGGAAAGCCCTTCCAGAATCGAGAAAATATATACTTTAATTGAGCAGCTAGAGACTAAAGGGTCGCTATAGTCTGGACCCCGTCCATGTTCAATATTCCAGGGGTTACGCTCACTATCACCCTCTGCACCCCTGGAACATGTCATGACAAAATTGAAGGTTTCATTTGTGACACCTTGTGGACAAACTTAAGACTAGTTTTATCCTTTGATGCACACCAGACGAATCTCTATATCGCATAACAGTATGTTTTAATGACTTTGAAGTCTTTGTAAACTTCAAAGAAGCTTATCAACCTGTGATAGATCAGTTTTTTCTCCTGCAACCTCCTCCTAGACCAATCAAAATACATTTGTCATGACATAGGTGTTGAAAGTGATAGTGAGCAAAACCCTAATTAAATTAATTATATTGAACCTGAATTTTTGTTGTATTCAGTGACAGAGACTTTGACGGAGGGAGTAGTGAATTTGAGAGTACAAGTCGCCTTACTACCCTCTGCTGGAGGGAATTTCTCGTAAGTCGAGCGATAGAGTGTCTGGTTAGAGACTACAGTGTCGCTAGTTCGAACCCCACCAGCGGCAGACTGTTTCCCATTACTCCTTCCTATTACAATAATAAACAAATGAAATTGTCATCTCTACGATCGGTCCGGCGAAGATGACAAAATAATAACCAAAACAGAAAATATTTCTAAATTTACCAAACTTTCCAAATAGGCATAACCGTTCATAGTTAACACTCATGGAAATCAGAAAACAACATAAATAAAGTAAACTGACAGCTCCTCCCCAAAAAATAACTTACCATCGTTGTTAGAAGCCATTTTCACATCGTTTCTATCTGTTGAAATGCATACACCGAATCAGTTATGTTCAATGACTGACTTCCTGACGAATGAAAACAACTCTCGATTTCAACTTATATCGGGAAATCATTATCGGACAACAGGTTAGTTTAAACTTCCTTCCTCACAGACATATTGAATAACTTCTTCCGGTCAAGTCACATGATCATTTTAAGAAGGAAAACAGTCACATGATAAGATTGTGACTTGGTCGAAAACTCATCGGAAATCTTCGGACATTTCCGGCAGTAGATGGATTGATCGCTAAATCTGTTCGAGTTATCTCTCTTCGACCTCAGAATATTGAGTTGATATAGTTCAATCAACTGGGACTTGGCAAATAGGTGTGTTTTTTTCTAAGTAATCTACCAAAATCAATCTTTGATATATATATAAATATGTATATTTTTTTTCGCCGTTTAATGATACAAATTATCATCATTGTGCATTGGACTAATATGGAAGGAGAATATAGAAAGCGTGACAAAACAATGTAAAAAAAATATTATATCTATTTAATATTCTTCAAAGATTTTCCCATTTCATAATTAATTGAAAATTTATCACCATCATCATCATCATCATCATCATCATCATCATCATCATCATCATCATCATCATCATCATCATTTTTTAAGATGTGTCCTATAATTTAATTGGCCTATCCCATTTCCCCCAAATCGCATCCTAATTTATGCTTACCTTTGTCGTCCTTACCACAAGCAATGTACTTTTGAATGCTATAATTATCTTTTGTTATGTTGACAAAAACCTTTATATTTAATGAATTATGCTAATACAAATTAACCAAAAAGGCTCAACAATGTCTATTGCATGCAAACTGTACACAATGAACATGCTATTTCAACTCGCGATATCAAACGAATTATGCAACGTATATTTTAATAAAATTTTTAAATGCCTATGCAATCATTTTCTGTGCATGCTTTTATACGTAGTACACGATATCGGAAAATAATGGATGGAGTTGTATAAATCGGCATCTTATACAAATCTTACTGAATATGTAAAACTATAAGAAAAAAAATCTAGTTGAAGGGGGATAACTCGTCGTACACAAATTGAGACCTGTTTTTGATAAATGTAATATTTACTGTGACAAGGGCACTACTTGTTCTAATTCGTAGTAGAACAATATATACTTACTTACTGTAAAACCATATCATTTTTCCGAGAACCCCCGAAAAAAAAAAAAAAACAGTAAAAAAAAAAAAACAAAAACAAAAAAAACAAACAAACAAAACGAGCGCGAGGTGTCATTACTTACACTGATAAAAAAATTTGATACAAATACGTGTTTTTCTAATTGATCACAAGATAAACTATTATGTCTGCATTTAATTAAGTAAAATTTGCTTATTAAAAAAAGAAAACTAGGAATGTCCTAATTCATTTCAACGATGTAACTTAACTTATATTTTGGGGCCCTTTTCAACGTTGAACGTGGGCCCGAGTCGTTTCACATGTTAAATAACAAATTAAGCAAATAATCTGAATATTTAAGAGCGAAATATGTCATGGTAAATTGGGGTCTAATTTCAACGTAAGATGTCGAACTGTTGTCTATAAATCAGTCAATCAAGAGTAAAATTTGTCATGTTATAGAATAACTCATTTATAAATGGTATTTATAAGATTGTTGAGCCCGTTTTAAACATTTATTGTGATTTCATTTAAGTAATTTAACAAGGAAACATGTTTAAGGTCATGTGAGACTGACCTATTGCAATCGCTTTTTGTCGCTGTGCGTTGTTCCACGATGTCTGTCGTTTTTTACTTTTCAAAACCTCCGAACAAATGTTGATTAAATTTTGCAGAAACCAAAGGTTGCATGGACAATTGTGAACTAAAATTGTGAATTTTATGATCTCAACCATCAAGAGGCCTGCGAGGCGTGTCAAAAGGAATCAAATTGACGCAACTTTCAAAATTATTGTTTTCACAAGACCTATATATAGAACGGAATACTCTATAAATGGAAGGGGACGTATTTGACTAAAACTATGAATTTCATTAGCCCAGGATCTCGTGTTACCACCTGGGGTAAAAGGAGGTAAATTTTATCATAGTTTGTATCGGAAACCTACAGTTTTTAGCAAGATTTGTTTAATTTTCACATATTTCCAACTTGTTAAGAATTATACAAGATGGTATTATATGTACAATGTAGTTCGAGTTACTTTATTAACAAGATTATTTCTATGATGTATGATTCAACAACACAAACGACAGCTTATGTAGATCCCACGTGACCATTGATATTCTTGGTTATGTTTTATGCAATGGAGTCAGAAATGAAACCCTGAACCATTACAAAATATGACAGGGATTAACATCTTCAATTATTGTAAGGAAATAAAGATTCATAATGTTGTAGACCTAATTCAGGCCCCATTTTCAATGTCTGATACTGACCGAACTTGATGGAAATAGTTTCTCAATATTTTCCATATAGAGATCCAATGAGTTCTTAAGACCGAGAGCGGACAGCTGGGTTACTCCTTATCAAGTAAGACCATACATATCTCTAGTAAATTTGAAAAAAAATCACAATTGATGAATGGGTAATTAAAACTTTGGTGACATGAAACTACATACAGTGTCATAATGGTGACATGGGACAATATGCGGCGGTATTATGGTGACAAGAGAAAACGAGACAACATGGGGCTGTATGGTGGTGACATGGGATAACATGTGGCGGTATGGTGGTGACATGGGACAACATGTGGCGGTATGATGGTGACATGGGACAACATGAGGCGGTATGATGGTGACATGGGCGATGGGACAACATGAGGCAGTTTGATGGTGACATGGGCGATGGGACAACATGAGGCAGTTTGATGGTGACATGGGACAACATGTGGCGGTATGATGGTGACATGGGCGATGGGACAACATGAGGCAGTTTGATGGTGACATGGGACAACATGTGGCGGCATTGTGATGACATGGGACAACATGAGGCGGTATGATGGTGACATGGGACAACATGAGGCGGTATGATGGTGACATGGGCGATGGGACAACATGAGGCGGTATGATGGTGACATGGGACAACATGAGGCGGTATGATGGTGACATGGGCGATGGGACAACATAAGGCAGTTTGATGGTGACATGGGACAACATGTGTCGGCATTGTGGGGACATGGGACAACATGAGGCGGTATGATGGTGACATAGGACAACATGAAAAGGAACAATTTTTAGAAAAAGTAAAACCAACTTATTTATAGGAATAGGAAATTTCAAGAGTGTTATCAAATGAATAAAACGTCGGTAATCTAAGACACCTTGAGCAACAAAGATAACAATGTTAGTCAACAACTTTCACTGGATAAATTACACTTGAACAAAAAAAAACTGCCAGGGATTTCTGCATTTCTGTGGCATTTTCTGTAGAAATGACAGTATTATCTGTATATAACAGAACTAAGACTTTTGTATATTCTGTTAAAAAATATCACTTATGGCGACACCGTTACAATTATGAATATATATATATTTTTCCAAGGTCTCACAGAAAAATGGCAAAGAGAAAAAGGGGCAGATTTTCCCCTTGTCGTACACCAGAATGACAGTAAAACTATTGGGATACATTACCATTGTGCTTTGATATTTTGATAAACTTTGACAATAATATTAAAACATTTTCCTGATACCAGATTTTATAAGCTTAAGCCATAGTCCGGATCGCCATACCTGATCAATAGCTTTAGTAAAGTCACTGGGTTATGTGGTAAATTGACCTGCGGCCAGTATCTACGGTTGTGTGCCAGTTTGCCAACACCAGTTAGATGAAAGAAAATGGAGAACAAAGGAAAAACAATTATAGTCTGCTCTATAAAAGTGCCACCTGTTACCTGTAAAAATTTACCTGTACAGATAAATATACCTGTATATAACATTTCTATATTTTCAAATTACTATGAAGTAAAAAGATGATACACATATGTATATAGAACTTTAGTTTCTTAAAATAAAAATAAAAAAATTAATATAGTTAAAAAAAGTATTTTTGATTTCATCAAAATATTATACATTCATAATATATACTTACATTTTAAATAAACATATATACAAGTGAATTAAGTAGCACTACCAATATTAATTAACATAAAAAAATACTAATATTGCGAACGATGAATACAAATAGCCTATATCATTAATGTTATCATGTAACACAAAATAGCATTCAAAGTTATTAAATTATCATTGTGTTGTAACACTTATTCGTCGCCTAGATATCAGGTCCATTGTGTTGTTGTGGTTCGAGCCGTTGTTGTGAAGACATTCCTTCAGCTGTGCGAGTCTGTGTTCAGTGGTCCGGTATTTCTTGGCCCATGATCTGTAAAATCCTCATGTGCTGCGCTATATCCTGGTAATCTCGTTGACTGCCTGTATCTCCTGAAATATCCGGATCAGTGTGTAGATGTTCGGGTGGGAGTGTTGGTTCTTCTCCAGCTTCCCGTGCCAGGCTTCCAGGTGGTTGGTGGTTCTGGGTCCTTCTGTGTCGTGATGGTTCCACATGCGTTTGTTTCCTTCTATCCAATGAGTGACGACGTAATCAGTGAAGCGGGTTGTGTCGCAGGGTACATCTGCATCCTCCAGTTCCTCCAGGGCGTTGAACCAAACATCCTCAACGCGGTCCAGTGGTACAAGGGGTTGTGTTGCTGCTAATCTCACAAGGCGGTTGATGTAGTCGTTTTCTTGGTAGGATATCTTTAGGCCGTTGGTCTGGGCGTTCTTCCGAATACACTGGGTGTGGTGGAAAAAACATCCGCGGATGTTGACTGAAGGGAAGACTCGTCGAAGGGCGTTGTGGGCAGCTATCTCGAAGTCCAGGAATGCAGTCGTCGGGTTTAGTGGGAGGTTAACGTTGGCCATGGTCGTTTTCAACAAAGTGAAAAATGTGGTGTAGATCTCCTGTGTCTTTCCTGGTAGTAGAGCGT